AAGTCACTTAGAAAAGCCGGAGGTTCTACCCAATATGGCGGCAGAGCAAGTGACGGCGTCATCCCGATGAGCGAGACTCCCACATCTATGGAGTCCTTCCCTCGCCGGACCGCGGTGCCCCTGAATCTCCCTCGCCCACGAGGAAATGGCATCTCGCTGGTCTGGCTGGCGGGGGGGGGAGGGGGAAATTGGGTAAGTGGTCGTTGGCGAGTTGTCACCAAGAACAGGATGATGTGACATCGGATACATCCAGATACTTTGTAGCGGCTGCCGATCTCTCATCTGTTGGATACAAAGTTACTGAACGCTGATCGATGGAGCTACGGAACAGCGCTGCGCCACGGTCATTGGCGGCTCCACGGGATGATGATACGAAATTTATTCTGGGGTGTGTTCTCGAAACTTCTGCTAAACATTGTATTGGTTTCCTGAGTTGTGTTCCATTTCTTGGTGTCCGGAGGCACTGGAGATAAAACCCCGGGCTGACAGCGGAGGCAACGTCACCAGCGCCCTCCCCGGAGAGATCACCGGCAAAGCCAAAAGATTTGAGGAGATCTTGCTAGAGAAGTCTCTTGCGTCCCCCTTCTCTCTAGTTGGCTCTCTTGCGCCCCCCTTCTCTCTAGTTGGATCTCTTGCGCCCCCTTTATTTCTCTGGTGGGCTCACTCTTGCGCCCCCTTCTCTCTAGTTGGCTCACTCTTACGCCCCCTTTTTCTCTGGCGCCCCCTTCTCTCTAGTTGGCTCGCTCTGGTGTCCCCTTTTCTCTGGTGGGCTCGCTCTTGCGCCCCCTCTCTTTTCTGGGTAGAGGGCTTCGGGTCATCAGCTGATTGATGCTTTCTGATGTGCAGCCACATCACCTTCTGGTTTTTACTACTACCCATAGATTCAGTTACTGTCCCGGTGACAACACTTTCATCAGACAGGAAGTGAGAGAATCTCAGGAATATTTATTTTTAGAGTAGTGGAAGGCCGGAAGCTTTGTCAGCATTTACTTTCCATCTGGATTCCCTCACTGGACCCGTTGTCACCAGGACAGGAAGTGAGGGGAAATCTCACTTTCTGTCCCCGAATAGCAGGTAAATCTCCAGAAATAGCCAGCACACTGTGAATGAACCTGGCGAGTTCACATTACTAAAAACATAAGACATTTCAGCGAAGCAATGGACCCCTTTCTCAAGGTGATGGACAGTAAACACCTGACTGGGTTCTAATCCTCCCCCACTCCACCCAAAACTATAAATGGGATAACGTGCACCACCTCTAATTGTGCCCTTTGTTGTCACCCTGTGATGTCCTATTATAGGGTGACAACACTCCCTGACAATGTGCCTCCTATGCACCCCTGGTTGACTCTTCAAGCAGCCATGTCGAAGTGCGTGGTCCACCGTTGTCACCGCAAGGAAGCTGGTCCAGTGCAGCCAATGGTGGAGTGCGCGCATGTAGACAGGAAGTGGCTGATGGAGATGAGCAGCATTGAGGATGGAGAGGATTTGGCTTCTATTGGAGATCAGACAACAAAATGTCTTCCAGTTGACGTTTTCATCTCCCTTGCCACCGGTGGGAAGCGCCATCGGCAGTTCCTCTGATCAGAGGTCATGTGACCTGCGTTGTTGTGCTGGAGGCGGCCGGCTCTACGTCGTTGTGGGTTCAGTTCCCGGCCTCTCCTCGATGAGAGAACCTGGAAGGAATGAAAGTGAAACTTTGGGTTTGCCGGTTAACCCTTCACTGCCAGGTTCGGTGCGTTCTGCCTGACGCTCCTTATAGGGAGAGGCCGACTGGTGCGTTTGCTTCATTTAAAGAGACAGTCCACCCAAAATTGACATTCTCTGATATCTCTGGACTGTGATGTGTGCGTGCGTGTGTGTGTGCGCGCGTGCGCCCTGCTTGACTATAGCAAACTAAATGTCATTGAGTAAGGTCCCCTTGGCACTTGTGGCCTTACTAGAGCTCCTCTCTGGGCTGCCCCCCCCCACTCTCCCCATCCACCTTCTATTGCTCCCAATATTCACTTACATCCGCCATCACATGACATCCGGTACTGATCTGACTTGGACCCTACCTACTGTGATTGTCTATGGGTCGTGCCCCCCGTCACTGCCTGCGACAATTCCTATTGATTGGCTGTCCAGCGGCGGCAGGGTCCTCGGAGGAGGGGTCAGAGCAGTGATCTCAGCAAAAGGGATCCGTCAGTGCGTCCATGTCTGTATCACTTGCGTACTGGTCCCTCGGAGTAAATCTGCGGTAGGAAAGCGCTGTCCAGCCCTCCCAGCTGTGGTGACGCTACAAATCCCATCATGCATCTGCCTCTTGGGAGTCATGTCTGTAGCTGTCAGTCTTGCAATGCCTCATGGGACTTGCGGTTCTGCTGCAGGCCGGAGTTTGTTCACTTCTGGTATAGAGGGTCCCCTTCCGCTTAGACATTGAGGTGGAGTTCGGAGTACATTTGAGGCGTTAAAGGTTCAGTCCACCTATTGGGGGGGAAAAAATGCACCAAAACTGACAAAGTAAAGTTCATTCATCATATATTTGTCCATCATGATCAGTGCAACGCCCGACCTATGGCAGCGATTACCCCCCCCA